CAAAATGTGGAGTTAGAGTGCCACTGTGGCTGTGTGTATTTTTAATTTTTTTTTTCTTTTTTAAGAAAAGGTGTAATAACAAAGCACCCCCTGTTAATACCTTCTTCTTTATATGGGCTTGTATGTAAATAAAACAGTCTGCATGGTTACAAATGATTCCCATCAGCTTCCTTGAAGGAGATCTTCTTTTTGAAGAATACTATCTTAATATATTAGGTCAAAAATGGAAAGGTTTCCTGAGTGTAACAAACAAAAAACAAATAAGCAAAAATGGGATGCCACTATAGCTCACTTGGTTGAGCTGGAGATCCATATCACAAAAGGCTGCAGGAAGTCTAAAAAATGCCCCAAAAAGAAAAAAGTCAAATCCTCACACTTTAAGGAGAGGAAACTAGAAAGCCTCTGGCACTCTTTTTTTGTTTCATTATTGTCTTAAATTTATATTCAGTATGGAAAAATGTGTAACTTAATTAAGGAGGTAATGTTAACTATTAAAGACAGTGAAGTCTATAGCAAAACATTTGTGCACTAAGATTCACCTTTGAAGGTAAGGCAGACACTATTGCAGAAATGAGCACGCCGATAAAACACTCTTTTTGTTTGCCAGCAGCAGCAGCAAACGGCCTCTTATGGAAATGGTGGCAGGAGTCCAGTCTCAAGTCAGCTGGCTCTCCTGCTTTCTCTCTCTCTCTCCATCTGCAGCCTTTCTTTGAAACATGCTCTATAACCTGTGAATGTTGGGTTTACATGTCAGCTCCATGCTGAGGGAGAAAAAAAGTATTTAACTTTGGGTACAAATCTCTCACTAAACGCCAAAGAAGCGATGGCAGAACATGCTACTGCCATCTGTGTACTAAATGTGTATAAAACTTGAATGGCTGGCTTTGCTCATGTGGAAGTTGGCAAATATCATGTGAAAGTTATTTAAAATAGTTTTTAGAGTTTGAACAAGTTATGTCCTGAGCAGATCCAAAGAACAGCTATTGGCAGATCTAGGTTTGTGTTCAGGGGTTCTTATTGGCGAAAGATGAATTTAGTCTTCATAGTCCTCTGCTGTATTCCTGTCGAAGTCATACTTAGGTGCGCTGCCATCACAAGTGAAACTGAGTTGATGGAGTTGGGCTTGGAGCTAAGAAATCTTGAACATAAGAGAGAGAAAACTTCACAGGGTTCAACAAAACCATTTTTTTAAGTTTAAAAAGAAAGAAAGAAGTGTGGCATCGAATTGACTGCCCAGCTGCCAGCCTTTTTGGGCCATCGATGGCATTTCCACTGGTTGATTCTCAGGTGAAGCAAATTGGCTACTTGGCCAATTTTTGTTGTATTTTTTTTCCATACAGTACTAATAAATGTATTAATAAAAAATCCTGGATCAGACTGTTGGAAAAGGCTACAATAAAAACTTTGCTGCAATAACCTCGAAGTTGTTGTTGTTGTTGTTGTTATTATTATTATTATTATTATTATTATTATTGTTGTTGTTGTTGTTATTGTTATCATTATTGTTGTTAAGTGAAACGAGCTCCATAGTTCAGCCACTGTTTGTTTCAGGATTGGACCTAAAGTCTTTTTAAAGTAGACTGATAACCAGTTATTCAGATGACGCCAATGAATGCTTGTCTGGTCTGCCATGGGTATAGCAAACCAGTATTACTGAGGTACACCTCAGTGTGGAGTTGATGCTGCTGTAGTACACAAACACGGTGACATATCTTCTCTCCATTTGATTGCTTCACATCAGTTTTAAGACTTGTATCCTGCCAGCTAATCTATAATAGGGCTGCCACGATTTGTCGACTAGTCACGATTACGTCGACTATCAAAATCGTCGACGACTGATTTAATAGTCGATGTGCCGTTTGAAGCTTTGTAAGATCGCAAAAGACGCAGGAATAATAGCAGGATTTAAGAGTGTAATAACGGACTGAAACAGAAGATGGCAGCACTGCATGTACAAGGATGCCAGCTGCCGTTAAACCCCGAAGAAGAAGAAGCAGCTGTGTCCCAGAATTCATAGCGCGGCCCAGCTTAGTTTCCAACAATGGCGGTAGCTAGTTAGTTTTAATATTACTCTTATTATTCTTTCTGGGTCACAAAATAAACGTTTAACATATTTTCAGGCGAGAATGTAGCTGTGTAAACCTCAAATATCGGCTCAGTTTATCAGGACACCACATATTCTCAAAAGCACTCCGACGTTTTCGGAGACGTCTGTTACCCACTAGCTCGATAGCTAGCCGGGGGCTAGGTCACTAGCGCGGTGAGAACACGGACTCCCGCAAATTGTTTTCAAACCCACCGCCGACTTTCGCTACTCAGGTTAAATATATATGAGTCACTTAGATAAATTAAAAATGCTGTTGTTTGGCTTTTTTTTTTTAGTATTTTATTTGTTCCTGAGTAAATCGGTTTGGCTGAGATTAAAGTTATAGTTTTTACACAGCTGAATAAACGTCAAGCAGACAGCTGATTATCAGAAGTGTGAGATGCTGGAGAATATACTCCGGTGTCCTGTTATATTTTAGATAGCAAGGAGTTTATTAAACTTTACCAAAACAATCTGCAAATTTCATTAAAATTGAATAAACTATCATCTTGTCTTTATTTTTAGTTAGCACCTTAAAAGCTTAAAGCTGTAAGCTAATGATAGTTATGTAAGAGCAGATGCTGCTGGTGCAATAAGCTGTAGTTTTACGTCCAGTGGATGATGATCTGATTAGTCGACTAATCGCATAAATAATCGGTGACTAGTCGACTATCAAAATAATCGTTTGTGGCAGCCCTAATCTATAATTCATATCTTATCCATAATTTAAGATTATCAAACCCTTTTTTCAACAAGGACTTTTAAAAAATATTTAAATATAATCAGGTGTTTCAGATTACAGCTCACAATGTCAGATACATAGTGCTGTTTAAAAAGCGTTTAAGTAAATCTTGGCTCTGACTCTATATCAAGAATGTCAGAGTACTATGACTTCAGATCAGTGCCAAAAAAACGTATCACTGTCAACGTGGAACTTGTAGAGAACAAAGATGTGTGTGTTTAAAACAAATAAATAAAACGATGGTTACTTCATTCATTCATTCATTCATTTGTAGGTGGGGCTTCTGTGCTCATAGACAGTTAAAGCCCAGACTACACACTCACATGCAGAGTATGCACTGCCTTGCCTTTCTCAAGCATAATTAATTTGCACAGTAGCACAGTTGTGTATGTGCCTTAAAAACTTACACTTTAATCTAAATAATCTAAATAATGCTGTTACAGATGTCTGAATTAAAGCACAGATCTCTCAATATCCTAAACCAGGACCAACAAGAAGTAGTCAGCCTATAGGAAACTGTTGAATGTAAACAACAGTCGTGCCCCCTTTCCCTCCATATGAAGGAAGGCGCAGCAAGCCTCTATCTGAGTCTGGTTTTGTAGTGCAAGCACTGCTGCACCACTATCACTCATCTCAAAGCTGCAGTCCTCCTCTGAACTTGGGCTAGCAGCATTAGGGTAGATGGGTGGGGAAAAGTGATAGAGAGAGAGAGGCATTGCTGGCTGGTCAGCTACATGTAACTCATCAGTGCTTTCTGTGTTGAGCATCAGATTGATAGCTAACATCTAACTTTATAGCACAGCTCTCTAATATGTGATTTCATCTCCTAATTCACTTTTGTTTTTTATTGAACTACATGTTTAAAATATCTTCGCCAATATTTTTCAAAACAATGTTTGACACCTTTGGCTGTACAGTAATACCTCTGTTTGACAGCCATCCTACCAGCTATGTAAATTAAATTTTTGCTACTGGAACATAAAACAATTGTATGCAATTGATAAAATTACTAGTCAAGTCTGATTTTAATAAAAGCTTAAAATTTTAACTTTTCACCTGGAACTTTTACTACCATCTTTGCTGATGTAGAGTTGTCCACTGATTGCTCTCATTGTGTCTCTGGCTTAGATAAATTTAAAGTAACTGATGGCTCACAGGGAATACTTGTAAATACCCTGACTTCATTATTTGATACTTTGGCCATGTTTAATTTGAGCATTTGAGAAATAACATAGCATAACAGGCCCACTTTAAACCCTGTATGAGTTTTTTTGCATGTGGTAGAGTCCCCTTGCTTCTGTTTTATGACTGGCAGTGACATTTCAAGAACTTGTGAAATGTGTCTTGACTGGCCCAAGACTCCTGGAGTGATGGATGTTTGGTGCTGCTTTTTGTAAAAGTACTTTGTCATATTTTGCTAATGAAGGAATAATCCGCTTTATCTGTTTGTATGGGAGCTGCAGTGCTAGTGATGAAACAAATATGTGCATGTTCTAGTTGATTTGGAAACTGAAGAATTTACACTGGAATTTCTCTTGAATACTATTATTCGGTGTCTGGGTTTATCTTTGCTATTTTTTTCTTAAGGTATTGACTAGATTAGGTCATCTAATTATTTGTTAGTATACATGTTTTCATAGACCTTGGATCTTGTTTGCATTAAATCCCGATATTGGATGTCCTGCTCTAAGGTGGAATTATTTTTAGTTGTTCCAGGAGTCAGGGTGACTCCTGCGAGTGATTCTGGGAGGGTTTATCCATCAGGTGACTGCTACTTTCTTTAAATCTGTCTGTAGTGTTGATACAAACTGGTGTCATGCGTTGACCTGCTGACTGGTTAAGTGGTTGTTGTGCCTGCAGGGCTAGCTGCCAGCTGATGGTTTGTACTGTTTTTGGAAGCTAAGAGCAAAGTAAAATCCAAACGGAGTAGCATGATGTTTGTGTAGCTGGCACTACTAATGGATGAAAAGGGACGTGGAGAGAGAACAGACGTAGAACGATAAAGGGTGTTTTCCTGAGAAGTGCTCTGATGGTGGGTGGAGGTATTGCAGGAATGCTGGTGGTCCAGCTTCTGGTTTAAAAAGTGCTTCATTCATATGATGATGATGTGCAGATTGGGAGGGGGGGGGGGGGAGAAACTGTTCTAGTAATCAATCTTTTTAAATGTTCATTATTACTTTTTTGGTGATTGTGGACCAGCACTGTCAAAATTCAAACAAACAAACAACAAAACGCAGCACATGGCTATTTTTCCAAGAAATCCCAACAAAGCAGATGGACAACTCAATACAACACAAACATATATACTTGCATGCTATTAAACAAATATTATATTTGACAAACATTATTTCCATTTTCTACTTGAGTTTCTTGACCCTTTAGAAGAGATTGCAGAACTGTAGTTGAAAAGACAGTAGCTCATCCTGCTCTGTGGTATTTGAGTTTGCAGACTGATTAAACTGGGAAAGAATTCCTTCTCTCATACTGGTATGCATGGAAGAAATCTCAGCTCATATCCACAGTGCGTCACTCTGGAATCTTCTTTGTTGTGTCTTCATTTCAGAATGTTAAATCAGATAAAATGTCCAATCAACAAACTTAAATTCAGCCTTAAAACAGCCAGCTGGTCTGTTTTCTCCTCTCAGTGACCTGGTAATAAACTAATGGCTCATTCACTCACGCATTTGTTCTTAGTTAATAGTTAGCCACTTATTAGTCATTATGGAAAGTTTTCAGGACAGTGAAATGGATGATGGCCAGTGTGGCTGATGCCTCACAGACTGCTTTGATTACTTCTGGGTAGATGCATGACGATATCAGAAATTTGATCCCAGTACTTCCTAAATTTGAATACCAAATTTAATCAAAGAAAGACTCAAAGTAGACACTACTTAAGAGTGTGCAAGTGAATACATAGTATTACAACATTCAGCCCAAGTAACCTCTTGTGTTATTTTCAAGAAAAAGACTGAAGGAGTAAAAATGGCGCTGTGACAGTATAATGTGAAGCTGGAGCTGGTTGACACATAAATGGTGAATGATTCATTTTAGGATTGTTTAAAAACAACAAAAACAACCTTTAATAGATCAGCAACACGGTGCACATCTGAGCATCCTGTTTCGTGACCAGATGACCCCCATAGATACATGGATGTAAAGGGGGGACAAAGGTTTACTAAGATTTATTTCAAAGATTTAGTGACATAATTATTTTGCAGATTTAGATTTTTAACATAGTGGCATTAGTATAGTGGCTCTATGGTGTAGTGTTTAACACATTTGCCTTGTACACAAAAGGTTCCTGGTTTGAGAACAAGACACAAACAACTGAGAGTGTTATCTTCTGAGGGCCAAAGAGTGTAAAAAATCAGTCTACGCAAGTGCAGATCGAAGTGCAACCCCTTGTGAATAAAGGAGGAGCCAAAAGCAGTTCTACGTTCCTCACTTTACCCGCCACTTCCCACACGTGGGATTGTGGCATTTTATATTGATATAAAACTTTTTTTGGCATATTTTTTTTCTTGATGAAACTCTTGCTGCGATTTTCTTTTTCTCCCTGCTGTGCTGTTGTCTCTGTGTATATGACTTTGGCACCGTTTTACTCGCCATGTCTGCTGCTTCTGTGCTCTGCTTTATTGTTACTTCCTGGTTGTGTGACATGTCGTAATATATGTTGTGAAACAAGTCCACGTCTCAGGTGCTCTATGAGAAATCAGGCGTCACAGTCAGCAGACTGAACTCGCTGTCTGCAGCTCACAGGTGGATGATGTCATGGTTTCTCTGTGTATGTGCGTGAGAATGTAAGTCTGCGAGAGCCATATGTGACGCATAGTGTGTGTGTGTGTGTGCGGTGTTGCTGGGTGAAAAGCTCTATAGTTAGGTCCCTCCCTCCCCATCTCCAGGTTACCATGGGGACAGAAGGTAACTGTGTGTGTGTGTGTGTGTGTGTGTGTGTGTGTGTGTTAGTGTATAGCTATCATGAGCTGTGAATTGCTAGCTTTTCGTTGCACACTGCAGTGGGATAAACAGCGAAGTGAGCCAGTCAGCCTCAGCCTCTCTCTCTCTCCGTGGCTTGTTTTTTGCTGTTTCCTCCTTCAGTCCCTCCTTCCTCTCTCTCTGGTAGGACAGAGCGTTTCAAGTCATGACGGAGAGCTGAAAGCTGATGAATGAAACTCCTGGAACAACAGGCAAAAAGGCCCCGGGCATCCAGATCAGATCGTTATCTGTGTGTTTGTGTGTGTGTGTGTGTGTGTGTGTGTGTGTAATTTTTGCTGTGCCTGTGTTACCTTTATCTGTGTGTGCTCGTTTGTGTTTCAATTTTAGCTGTTAATATCTGTGTTTGCTCTAATTTGTGTTTTGTTTTGACTGGTTGTTTCCTGTCTGATATCAATCAAGATATTCTGCATGGGTTTCCTGAATCATATGAACGAATATGATTTTGGCTTCTTGTTTATGGTTTACCATCATGGGTGTTCTCTGTGTATATAGACTGTATATAAAAGATGGATAAAAGGGAGAAGCCTGAATTTTCTCAAAACATCGACCTCTGCTTGTCACAAACCCTCGCTAGTGACATCTGATTATAAAATGCCAAAATGGTGATGATGAAAACAGTCATCTTAAAGCTTTGAAACAGGACTGAGGGAGTCCCTGGGTGATTTCAGAGTAGCTATGTCTGTCTGTTTGTGGGCCTGGTGGGTGTCAACCTCCACGATTTATAAGGCGTGTGGTCTAAAGTATGACATTTTTGTAATGGTCAGCAGAGGATGACATCTCTGATTTGTGAAAGACATGAGATATGAGCCTCCAAACTTTTTTGCCCTTCAGGATAGGGCTGTGCGATATGACAAAAATCTCATATCCCGATATAAGACATTTATTGTCCTGACAACGATATAAATCACAAAAATGTAATATTTTCTGTAAATTCTGTGAATCTCAGGCAACTCGATTTGCGTGAAGTTTTTCTTCTCATCCGTAAACTCTCTGCATACTCTTTCCCGTGATTCAGTTTATTTTAGAAAGTCTCAGCAGGATCTTGAGCTTTATTGTGAAAGGTTTACGCGGAAAACAAACAAGCGGACTTGTTACCTTGTTTTACCGTCATTGTTGCTAACGACAACACGTAAAAACAGTACACAGGGGACAGAACAGAAACAGACACAATTTTTCTTACATATTTACAAAAACAGGCGCTTTGTCCATCCGTAGTGTGGTTATATTAAATATTAGAGAAAGAGAGAACTTTAAGAAATTAATAAAGCCACTACAGTGACCATCAAAACGATGAAAAAATATTGCTGTAAAGAGTTTATTTTACGACACCACAAAACAAACGATATACTTTTTTATATCGTCATCCAATATATATCGTTATATCGAACATCCCTCCTTCAGGGGCAAAAAAATCTGTAATCAATGTGCATGGATGCAAATCGGTTGATATTAGAGATGGCAGGATACCACTTTTTTCTGTCTGATACTGATATCATAAATTTGGATATCTGCCGATACCGATATGAATCCGATATAGTGTATTTTTTTAATCAATAAAACAGTTTTTTAAATATTTTGCTGCATTTTGTATAAGTTCATACTCAAGTTTTAAAAAAACAAAACAATAAAGCTATTCTGTTATACCTGTGTGCAAAAAATACACTGCACCCAAAATATTTCATAGTTCAGCAACTGATCAATCTAATAAACTTAAACCTACGCCATCCTCCCTATTCTGGTATTTTAAAGAGTACTTAGCAGAAATATTAAGCAGCCTAACTAATAGGGTCAAAGCAAAAAAAAATAAAAATAGGGAACCACCCCGCCCTTGTGATGCTTAATTGATGTAATCAACTTTAATTTAATGCACGTGTAAAAAAAAAATGCACAGAAATCAATTATTTTTCTACAATAATTAAATAGATTCAACATCTTTCTTCAACAGAATTGCAGACTGCACAGATGGTACCTTCCCAAAGGAAAAAGTACTATAGCTTACTAGGGTATATTAGACTTAATAGTTACTATATACAGTAATGGACTTCTATACATTTTACATCAGATTAAAACTTTGGGTGTAAGATTCAGATAATTATTTATTAAAAGCTAGACATTTTAAATGAGAATAAGAAAGAAAAGTATGTCTTTGTGCCCCCTTTTCCCTGTTAATGCCCTATCGGCCCCCCTGGCTAAACTTTGCTAGATCCGCCCCTGCACAGTTACCAGCCGTCAGCTACGTAGAAAAGATCCTGGTGTAGAAAGTAATATTAAATAAATTCTAACAACAGCTTATCAAGCATAAACATGCAAAGTGGGCCAAAAACAAACAAGAGAGACGGGACTCGCGACTGAAAAGCCGATCAGCTGATCATTGATTAGTTTCATGATTGAAGTAGCAGCAGGAGAGGGAGGGGGAGAGAATGAGAGGCAGTCATAAGCTTAACGTGGGAATGCTTTATGAACATTCAGAGATGAACTTACACACTTGCTTTACTTCTCTCTGGGATAACTTTCTCAGAGATGAAATTCCAGTTTGGTAGCGAGGCTCCAAATGCTCAACCAGACCGCCACGAGGTCTTGCACGCCACAGCCGCTGTACCACGTGACGCTAGAGCTGGGCGATATGAGATTTTTTCATATCACGATATGTTTTTTTCATTTCAGTCGATAACGATATCTATCACGATATAAGCCAAATAACTATATTTGTAAGATTTAAATGTGCCGTTGCTCACAAGTAAAATGTGAAATAATCAGCAGCTTGTTTTTATTTAAATATTTATTTCCCATAATAAGTTCAACAGGGTAGATGTACTTAAGGAACATGAGACTTTTTCAGATAAATAAAGGCAAATATTGCAAACTACACAAAAGGCAGCCGCTAAAGCGTTTAAGTTTCAAAATAGAACAAACGAAACAGACTAAATTGTCAATTCCACTTAGAAACAAAATATTAATTCTAAAAATAAATCTTAGTTTGTTTTACAGAAGAACAGACAAAACTGACTAACTTTTGTCAATATCAAATAAACTGAGAACTAAAAGGAAATTCTCAATCTCTCCTTGTTGTATAGCTTAGCTTTTCAAACAGTTTTAACAGTTACTTTAGTCTGACAAAAGCCGAATGACGAATTAGCGCTTCCAGTCAGAGACTGAGGCTACGTCCACACGTACACGGGTATTTTTGAAAACGGAGATTTTCCGTTTTCGTTTTAAAAAATAATCCCGTCCACACATAAAGGGAGAAATGAAGGAAAACGCTGCTATGAACATGCCAAAGCAGCAGGTGGCGCTAGATTCCTAACCGTGCAGAAATGTTGGCCAATCAGAAGTCTAGAAGCCTCGGTGGGAAAAAGTAAACAAAGCTGGGGCATAGAAGCAGAACCGAGTCGTATGTGTGGAGGGACAGTAACTGTGTGTATATGTAAGCATTTAAACACTGCAGAGAGTAGAATTAACAGTAACAGTATTGTAGAAATTCATTTCACCGAAACAATAACGTGGCGCACAGTGTGACGCATGCACCAGTTTATTGTATTTCCAGACTTGCTTTCGGCACAATTTACAGTGCACGCTACTCTGTTTTTTGTCAGACTTGAAATAGCCGAAATACCTTCACACTACGGAACTTCTATGGCTCTTCCGTTCGACAATCTCTCCGGCATTGGAACCATCATCTGTTTTCTCTTCGGTCACGCTCGGTTGATTTTTCTAGTCGGCACACTCATTTCCTCCATTACCCGCTGGCTGCTTCCCAAACAAACACACGTGCGGCTTGGCACTTGTGCTGTACGTAACAAGTCACGCGACGTGACGCTGCGGCTGTGATTGGTTCGGCTCTGCGCTACTTAATTTGGATTGGCTGACCTTTTTTTTTTTTTTTTTAAGAGGACAAGAGCGGCGAGGTCTATCGCGATAGCTTAATTTCTCTATCGAGTAAAAGTTATATCGCGATACATATCGTTATCGTTCTATCGCCCAGCTCTACGTGACGCATACTGCTCCGACGTGCTAAGGTTATAAGCGAGTTTGCCATGTCGCAAGTTTTGTGAGTGCTTTTGTGATATTTAATGGATCGGATTACATTTTTTATTTCTCTCCGATAGCCGATCCAGTAATTTAGGTCAGTATCAGACCGATACGTAATTTCGGATCGGTCTATCTCTAGTTGATATGACATCTGGTCTGATGAAAATTGTGTTCTGAATATTTCACAAAGTACCGCGAGACTTACTAAACACAACATGCTATTGGCTGTGGTTCCCATTACCCTCTACTTTGTGATTGACATACAAGAATCCAGTGTCCCTCACTCTTCACCTCTGGTTTAAAACAAAAAGATGTTGATGGCAAATACAGTGGGAATTTACAAACCAAGACGAGTTCCTCTTTCTCCCCTGAAAAATAAAACCTTGTACCTATGCCTCACCAAGGTCATCTCTGGGTAGCTGCTGTGCTTATACCATATTTTTCGGACTATAAGGTGCACTTATAATCCTTTAATTTTCTCAAAAATCGACAGTGCGCCTTTTAATCAGGTGCGCCTTATGTATGAATCCTGGTTGTTCTTACTGACCTCGAACCAATTTTATGTGGTACACGGCGTTCGCTAGTTTCCACCTAAACATGATTTCTGAGAAAATTAAAACGTACAGCACTGCTACCACTTCCAACATAAATGAAGACAGAAAACTAAACAGGAGTGTATTTTGTAGGGTTACTGAAGTTGGGCTAGCTGGTATGTAATGATGTGGTTCGTGATCGCTAGCGACACATCTATGTTAGCATAACATAAACACAGTGAAGCTGCAGGATGAACGCTAACTTCTTTCTAGTCGATAAAAGTTAACGCGAAGGTTCCCAATGGTAAGGGACAAATGCAATCGCATTGCAGGATGCTGTAAACGGACCAAACTTCAGTCAGGAGAACAACTGAGATAATCCATCCACATTATGAGGTTAGTCATTAATATACTGCAACAACATGGGAATAGAGCAGCTGTGAGAGAATTCAACATTAATGAATCAATGGTACGGAAGTGGAGGAAGCAAGAAGAATGGGTTGAGTAAATTTTGACTTATCTGACTGTTTTGTTTTGCTTAATGCGTCCTATAATCCGGTGCGCCTTTATAGTCCAAAAAATACGGTAATACAACATTGTAAAATCTGTGTATTACAAGGAAGTAGACTGCAGCCATCGATGGTGACAGGTGGCTCTGTAACTGTGAGGCTATGTTGTGGTTGGGTGACATGAATAATTAGGTAAACAAAGCAGAATATTTTTTTTGGTGCCGTCTAACCCCACGTTGCTCCAGGGGAGTTCATGTCAAGAGTTTCAGTTTTATGTTCTGGTGAAATTCATTGGACGGGGGTCAGATCATTTTGTGTGTGTTTTTGGTTTCTTTTTGTTTTTTGTTTTTTACACCAAGTATTTAGCTTTGTATTGTTTGTTTGACAATATGAAAATCATATTACCAAAAGGTTGTGAAATATAATTTCTGCCATTATGAGCCGTAGCTTCATATTTCCTGTCATAATTTATTTCTCTCTTTTAATCTGGGGATCTATTTTAACTCGACTCTTCTTCAATTTAGAGTTTTCTGTTCATGTTTGTTTATAAGTGTCAGTTTTCTTCACATGGTTGTGACCTGTTGTTTTGCATGTTTCAGTTCTACCTGCAAGACACTAAAAGCAGCAATGGGACATTCATCAACAGCCAGAGGTTGAGTCGTGGCTCGGAGGAGAGTCCGCCCTGTGAGGTCCTCTCCGGCGACATCATCCAGTTTGGCGTCGACGTCACTGAGAACACACGCAAAGGTACAAAGATCACATGTGGAATATGATGACATACAGTGATGTAATATGGGGCAAAGCACATATTTTATGCTTCTCAGTCAGCATACATAATGGACAGAGGATTTTTCCTTACTCTTATAGTTAATAATGCACACATGTCAAGTAATCACACTTGACTAACCTTCAAGGATGGCTCTGGGCTCATTTAGCTTTGGTCATATGAGCTAATGCATACATAGACACCAGAGAGCGCATATTAAGGTCAGATTTTCAGCTCTACTTAAGCCATTTTCATACTGGAGTTCCAACAGGCATTAAACCGGCACACGAGACTTCTGTCAGAGGTTATGAAAAAAAGACTGATCTATGCCTTTTTACAGATTTTAGAAGATTATATCAAGTTAAATTATATAATAAAAAATATACAGTTTGTTTTACCAGAAGAGACTCATAACTACTTTAATTCATCAGCAATATGAAAATAAGTCACTAGGGTCTAGAAACACGTTTTTGTTTTCACATCCTGGATTTGCACCAGTGCATGACAAGCCAGATAGCTTTAGAGAAGTGTGTTCTGGGAACTGTTGTTATGCATTAAAAAAATAAGCAAAACGACAAAAAGCTGTGTCTAAACAAATTTAGTCTCTGTATACTGGAAATGGGATATGTATTTATTCTATTAACCCTTTAGAGCCGGTCGGAGCGGACACGCTCCATTTTGCGTAACTATTTTTAAATCCCGGTAGCACTGCAACCACGTAAACTAGCGCAATAATTTGTTTTGCATATGAAACCGGAGGAGTTGTACTTACATCTGATGCCATCAGCTTGTCCTAGGTCACAGTTTCCTTCCACATAAAGCTTTGCAAAAACTGCATAAAAAGCACTTGCAGCAACAAAAACATAATATTCCAGAAACACGCTTTGCCGATCCGATCAGCTGTTTGTAACACTTCCTACGTCCATCAGCGTGAACTGTCGCATGTCCGCCATGAGCTGCCCGAAACCGGAAGTGACGTCATTTTGCGGAAATGTAGTTTTTTACGATCGGGGCCTTATGAGCCTATACTTGTGTTTTTAAAAGTTATGTTTGAGTTTATGACTTTCTGTGTCGTTTCTGGGATGCTTAGGACTCATATTGCACTGCTGGAAATAGTTTATTTTGATGCATATGCTGTTATTTTGCAAATTTGCACTATAATATTTATTTTCGTTTTTCCTGCAGTATATAAAAATTGGTGTATTTCAAAAATAAAACTATGAAGACACTTAAAATAAATTTCCTGTGGTGGGAAACTAGTTTGTGCAACTTTTTTGTATTTACAGTTTTGAGGGATAAGCCTCTTAAATTTCTCTAACTAGAAATATATGTTAAAAAAACAAAAACGATTTTCAATTTTTTTGTAGTTTATTGCACTTTTTTGCAATTTATGTAATTACTATGCACCTAATGCAGACATATTATTAAAGTTTGGGCTATAATGGTTGTATTGATGTATAGCAACTTGAAATGCTCCCAAAAATGGCTCCACAGCATGTAAAAATATAATATAAGCTCTGGCGGACTTGGTTCTATGGTAGGTCTTAAAGGGTTAACACTACCCCTTCACAGCAATAGTTGTCTTAAGTTGCTTTGTACTATAAGAACCCCATCGATAATGAGAAAGAGAACACCAACAATCAAATGATCCCCTACAAGAGCGAGGAGGAAGAAATCTCTCTTAACAGGAAGAGACCTCAAACAGAACCAGACTCGGGGAGGGGCAGGATCTTCCGTGGCCAGTTGTGGGGTGAGAGGAGGGAAAAGAGAAAACAGACAAGAATAGAGATGATAGTGGCATGTTATCTTACAGTTAGTGAAAAGACGGGAGTAAAGAAATGCTCAGTGCATCATGGGAAGTCCCCCAGCCACCTGAGCCTGTCGCATAACTAAGGCATGGTTCAGGATGACCTGATCTAACTAACTGTTGTGATATTTTGATACCATGGTAGCATTTACAGGATATTGTTTTATAGTGATATTATACAGGAAAACTGTTACTCAATAAGGCCCATTTACTAGTTGTTTTTCTCTTTCTCTGTGACCCAAGAATTAATGTGTAAGAATCACAGGATGGTACCTCAAGGTCGAAAATACCACAGAGATCACTTCCTTACTCCCATCCTCCCTTCTTTATCTCTTAGAAAAAGGCTTGTTAAAGGCCAGGTGGTTTGTTTCAGAATTCACTAATGAAAGAACTCTGTATTCTATGTCTAGGAGTGTATTTTGCTGGGATAATCATAAATTGTAGCTGAACTGATAAACTATACAAAGGATACTTCTTTGCTCAGAGGGCAGGAAGACGCTTCCTTATTTGGTCTGTACCGGTTTGAACTGAGAATCTGCTGACACACGAACCTTTTTCCTCTATATAAACTGTTGTATGATGAATAAACCTTTGAGTTGGTTTGGGAAGGCAACCTGAAGCAGTCTGTGTTTCCTTGTTCTCCCAAGCTACTCCCGACGTCGTAACTAACCTGCTGAACGGCATACCTGAGTGTTACTTTGAATAATTTTGAATCTTATAGGGTAAAGACAAAACTCTGCTTATAGGTGCCCAAGCCTCGGAGGAAACCCGATCCACGGATGACCCGGGACGGGGATTTCTTTCACTAACCCTAACCAGAAAGAAAGGTTACACACAAGCCCTTTAAAGCAGAGATGGTGTCTGTCTCCTGATGGACAGCTTGGAGCGGGTTCCACAGGAGATCCTGACAGCTGAAGGCTCTGCCTCCCATTTGACTTTTAGGAACTCTAGGAACCGCAGATAAACCTACAGTCTGAGAGACAAGTGATCTATTGATATACTATGATACTATACAGTCTTTAAAGCATGATGGGGCCTGATTATTGAGGAATTTCTATGTGAGGCAGAGGATTTTAAATTCAGTTCTGGACTTAACAGTGAGCCAATAAAGTAAAGAGAAGCTAATATGGGAGAAATATGATCTCTCCTTCTAGTCCCTGTTAGTACTCTCACTGCAGCATTTTGGATCAGCTAAAGGCTTTTCAGGGAGCTTTTAGAACAGCCTTATAATAGTTTTTTCCCTATTATCAAAAATAAGTAAAATCCCAGTCCCTCCATGTGACTCCCTCTTTTCTGTCCATCTGTGTGCCTCTGCACACAGTCAGCTCACATGCTGATCCAGGCACTACAGCACGTGTGCTTTTATTTAGCTCAAAACAAACCACTTCTTTGTTGTGACACACAGGACACAAGCTTGACCTGGTAGCAGTTTTTGTTTATGGCAATATTTTATTTTTTTCACCGTTTTGATGGTCACTGTAGTGGCTATATTAATTTCTTAAAGTTCTCTCTTTCTCTTATATTTTATATAACCACACTACGGATGGACAAAGCGCCTGTTTTTGTAAATATGTAAGAAAAATTGTGTCTGTTTCTGTTCTGTCCCCTGTGTACTGTTTGTTGTATGTGTGTCTTTCTGGCTGCTGTTACAACCAAATTTCCCCTTGTGGGACAATTAAAGGATTATTCTATTCTATTCTATTCTACACGTTGTCGTTAGCAACAGCGACGGCAAAACCATCGCGTGTCTGCTTGTTTATTTAGAGGTCTTATATCGGGATATGAGATTTTGGTCATATCGCACAGCCCCAGAAAGAAGCAACATACGCTCAAATACTCAGGCACTGACTCCCCATGTGTTTGACAATCTGTGGAATAATCTTCAACAGGGCTGAAGGTAGTGGTAATACAACAGCGCTAGAGCAGGGCGATATGGCCAAAAATATTTATCACGATATATATTTGAAAATTTGCGATAACGATATAACCGACGATATAATTGATGCGAGACAAAATACAACTCCACAACATTACTAGCGCAAAAAGACAACCTTCCATTTATTTTCACTTAAACAAGAAGCTGGTTTTTATGTACATTAAAGCTTTATAAAAATGTAACAGTGCAAATGCAAATTCCTTGCTGAAAGTTTAACCAAAAGGCATTTCCAGTAGAAATGGGCTGACATATCCTGAGCATAACCATGTATAATATCCACTGAAGTTAAAAAGAGGTGCTTTGCAACATTAAACTGCAGTGTGCAGTACGTATTTTTCGGACCATAAGGTGCACGGGATTATAAGGCACATTAAGCGAAACAAAGCAGTCAGATAAATCAAACTTTATTAAACTCATTCTTCTTGCTTCCTCCACTTCTGTACCATTGATTCATTAATGTTGAATTCTCTGGCAGCTGCTCTATTCCCATGTTGTTGCAGTATATTAATGACTAACCTCGTATTGTGGATGGATTATCTCAGTTGTTCTCCTGACTGAAGTTTGGTCCGTTTACAGCATCCTGCCATGCGATTGCATTTGTCTCTAACCATGAAGAACCTTCACGTTAACTTTTATAAGTGGAAAAGTGTTAGTGTTCGTCCTCCAGCTTCACTGTTTATGTTATGCTAACATAGCTGTGTCGCTAGCGATCACGTAGCACATCATTATATACCAGCTAGCCCAACTTCAGTAACCCTACAAACGTCACTGCTGTTTAGTTTCCTGTCTTCATTTATGTTGGAAGTGATAGCAGAGCTGTACGTTTGATTTTTTTCAGAAATCTCTCAGTCAGAACATGCATATATCATGCTTAGGTAACTAGCGAAACTAGCGAGCTAACTTCCGCTAGCTTCCTGCTAACTTCTAACTCCGTTAAATGTAATAACTTTTGTTTTCATGGATGCCTGGAAGTTAAACTTTATAGTTACACCTGGTAAAGCAGCAATGCTGATCGTTTTATTAAAGATGAAAGAATTTAGACAGTTTTTAACTCTACAGTGATGCTGCAGTGTTGTTTGACCTGAAGCATACGGAGTTTAGGACCCAGATTACTCCCAGATTTAAGAGCATCTTAGTCCGACAATAACAACGACGGCCGCTTGCATGTTCTGCAAAAAAATGTGCTTTGTTGTGTATCTGACGGACAAACACCAAACCAGTTCCACATCACGGAAGTTGCACCATTTTTACAAACCAATTCTGGTTCATCTGTTTCACTCAACAATCGGCCATGTGCGGATATGAAAACAAAGGCACTGCGCATGCGCGTTTTACTCCCATTCTATCGCGATATTTCATTTTCCTATCGTTGCCTAACATTATACCGGTATTACCGTGAACGGTATAATATGGCCCAGCCCTAAGCGCTGACGATATAAAATTGCATTTACTGTGAGACTGGTGATTACTCTGAACCATACCTAATTATAACAGTTGTGGGGTAATTGTACACCCCCACATCAGAAAACCTTCAATAATATGAAATTTGATACCTTATAGAATTTGTTAATATGGGCCAGAAAGGCAGAAATCTTTTCCTTAAAAATTATGAACTTTGACACATAGTCAGCCCGGGCTGCATGTTTGACATGGATTCTCTAGAGTCTCTATATTCGCTGATGATCCAGGACTTTGTATTTGTAAACATTCTGCTCTGTTTTATTTCGTTTTCTTCATATGAACAATATTGAAATGTCTTTTCTCTTTTTGTCTGCAGTCACCCATGGCTGCATCGTGTCAACAATCAAACTCTTCCTACCTGATGGGATGGAGGCACGCCGACGAAGCGAGTAAGCACCACTCACATTGATCCATGGAGATTTGTTTATGTAGTAATAACAGACGATATTTTAACAAAGTTTTCTACAGTTTCTACACTACACATTCTTCTGAAAAATTGGGATTTATTGCTGCTCATTAAAGCAACAGTATACCGATACAGACTTAACCAGACGATTTAATGGTTGTCTGGTTAAGGTTAAATGCTTACACACATATACACACACGCGCACACACACGCGCACACACACGCGCACACACACGCGCACACCCAATTTCTGCTTGTGTAGTGATGTGATTATTATCAGTCTAGTTGAGGATGAGGGCAGTTAATGAGCTGAGGATAAGGGTCTGCGAGTGTGTGTTAATAATTCTGGCCTGTGTAATAACCTTTTGAATAAACTGTTCATTTGAGTTTTAGGGTCCCCCCCCACCCATTTTTCTTATTGACTCATACTGAGTGTTTACATGTATCTTTGCCTTTCTTTGTGTGTGTTTGTGTTAAATGGGCTGTAGCTGACCAGCCGCTGACCCAGCATGGAACTTCCTACTGTACTCAGAGTCCCACTTGCGTGTCTGTGTGTTTGTAATTGGCTGGACGTGTGCATTAGTGTTACTGGGGCTCAGTGCTGTGTTGGGCAGTGCCATATGCTGCCATGCTGCTCAGCTTCCAGTCTGGTAAACCCATCAGCCACGCTGACCGGAGTCTTGGGTCTGGTTTGTTCATGCTGTCTGTGCTAGAAAACAAAAAGCTGGGTTGCAAAACTAAAGGACACCAAGAATTAGTTGTTAACGGTATGAAAACATTCACAAATAATTCAAACAAGCCCAATCTAATGATCGACTATTGTTCCTAAAAATGTGTGTGTTTGAGATCTATTTGTAACTGTTAATCACGTTCTTCAGGAATCAAACTGTATTTTACATGTTGCTAAAATGTGCGGCACTTTCATGTTGTCACACGTGCGGGACTTTAAGATTAGTTTGCCAAGTCTAGCTAATGTTAGCAGTGCTAGCACTTCCTTCCACACAGAGGACCGGAAAACACTGCTGTGGTCCAAGTGGTTTTATTTCAGTTTGCTCTGACACTGAACTTCTTGTCACTGAAAGAGAGGGGCTCCTACCTTGTGCCATGTGGCTGCATAACATGTCACCTCTGGTAGTTAACTGGTTTTCTACTTAGTATAATATGAATATTTTGTTTAAGCAACCACGTAGCATTACTACTGACAACTACTGAAATCAACAATGTTTAAATCTCTAGATGACAGGCCACACACTTCTCTAATGAATAAAGCTGAGGTCTTGGGATGCATTTAGAGCTTACTTTGACTGTTTATCCAAATTTGGACATTGTGTGATACATTTTTCCCAACCTGGAAAGACTGCTTTTCATTTACAACTGCTTTTTGTCACAAACAAAGCTTCACGAAGTGAAGATTCTGATGCACAACTAGGAAGTGAAATCAATAAGAATTGGAATATAAAAATAACCTGGATGGAATAATCCATTAAGACATTTGTGAGACATCAGATATTAGTTACCAGGATTCTGATTTGAAATTATGAGTAATTTTGCTTTTTGAACAAGTGATCATCAGTCACTTTCTGGTTTCTAGTATGTCTTTGCACAGGAACAAAATAATTTCAGTCTCTGTAATTTTTTCCCTTGTCTCTCTGTCACGGCAAATGTGTGGTATTTTAGTGGTCAGTTGTGATGAATTGTTACGACCCCCTCTGCTAGGCGGCAGGAGGGGAGTAACATACACAAGCCCCCACACGAAAACTGAGTAAAATAAAAAGGCCGTAACAGAATTGTCCTGGTTTATTTTCAGATGTGCAGGTTTGGATTGTAGTTCAGCACAGGTTTAAGAAGTCCATCAATTAACACCAACGTAGTATTTTATCCACATGGTCAATAATGCATGAAAGTGAATGGTGCTTACCTGAGATCTAAAGAAGCGTCCAACATGTTCTGTGGGGAAACGACTGTAGTCTCTAGTTTGACCTTTGACCTTCAGCATCTGTTATGATATTCCCAATATATGGGAATATTACGGGAACAATTACGGCATTTTTTGTCTGTTTGTTGTGTTGGTTTTTGTTTTTTGCCCTTTATCACAGTTCCTCTCCCCCGCTGTTTTTCTTTCCCTACCTCTCTTTCTCTCTCCCTTTTCTTTCCCCCAGTCATGTCTGTCCCATGTGTAGCAAGTGAAAATAAAATAAACAATAAAAGCAAAGGTGAATCAAATAGACCAATACGGCAAGGCCGGGATTGTCCATTTGGCAAAGTAAATCCGTTGGGCATCTTTCTTTGCCTTTAGACAATAATTCTGATGGCAAAAGAACCAAACGGGACAGGCAGGAAAGAAAACAAAAACAAAACAAACATCATAGACTTACAGAGCAATGATGCTACCTTCTGTCTCAGGACCACATTTGACATTTTTTACCTCCAACAGGTCAAATTTCACTTTTTAAAAAAAATTTTTTTTTTTAACCATTTTGCTTTAATCAAACAGCTCTTCTTATTTAACTAACAGTTGGACTCTGTCTCTAGAGTGCTGCTGAAGGGGACCGATGTCAGAAGATTTATTAATAGCTGAAGAATGTCTCAGCTCCCTGGTATTAGAATTAGCTTTCTGGAGATCTGCCTACAGCTTTATAAAGATGGTTACTGTGTTCGCAATTTTACATTAAACCAAAGCTGAAAACTTTGATAGTGACAAATGTCCACAAGAAAGAAATTAATCAAATGGAAAGAAGGCAAATTACACTTTTTATATAGCAGCACGTTTAGAACTAAATTTCATTTAAAAAACCCAAAGACCAAAGAAAATGCACAGAAGACGAAAAACGACAGTTTCATAACAATAACTATGCTTCAATTTTATTTTATGAACATCTTTATCTATATAATGAACTCCACTCTCCTTATAACCCTTTAAAGATACTCCCCAAACTGAACCATTTTCAGATTTACATCTTTATTTAATATCCCCTTTCTCCACATTGATACTGCATTTCTAATTTCAAACAACCACTAAATAAACATTATTAAAAATTATTTAGTAATGTGAAAACTTTGTTTACATAATCTGTGCTAGACTTTTCCCACAGTGATGTCAATTAGTGTTGTTGACAAATAAAGTAGTTTTGATAACTGACAATGTCATTATTATATAATATAAAACATATGAGGCACAGGACTGGACTTTATGCTTCCCCATAAGTATTTTTCAGCAGTATCCATTTCCACATACTGATAACTATTTAGCCGTCATCTCTTACCCTAAATATTTTCTCTATAATATTAAATGCTTTTTATAGATCAATGAAAATGTATTGAGTTTTAATGCTGTTTGATGCTCAGAAGTCTCCATAAAGTCCTCTGAATGGCACAGCTCCCTGCAGCCTCTTCAATTATAGTTCATGTAAAATAGGAGGTAACAACGTGGGAGTCTTTCCCTATTATTCGGTCTTCCATCTAATCTAAAACACCTGTTGTGACCTCACTGGATGACTTGTGGCCAGAAATGTTTGTAAGTGAGGATCAGCAGTTTTCCGCCTTTGTGAAGTCATTTTTTCCCACAATATTGTTTATGTGGTGAGACAAAGAAAAACACATACAGATCCAAAGAATAAATTCGAGCAAGTTGTGTGTTAGTATTCCTGCATTGCTCTGTTGAACTACTTCTTTAAAATAATGAAAGTTAATTTTATAAGGTAAACATTGAGCTATGAATTATTAAAGTCTGGCCTGTGCATGAGTCTCGTGTCATTGTTTTGATCACAACAATAGTACTTCTTTGTCTCCCCTATCAGTCTGTTACTGCTGTCCGTATTTCCGTAAAACACTCACGCATACTTGTGGTCATGTGGTTAATGGGGGTGTTTCATTTTCAGATTCACTGCTCTTCCAGCCAGGTGAGCAGGACAATAAAATGTCAGCTCAAAAATAGGTTGGGATTAAAGATGATAAATCAGTTGCCAAGTGATTTATCCAGGCTACCTTTGACCTCCCACAAGATGATAAAGGTAGTGAAGAGTCATAGTTGCAGCAGAGAGGAGTGTTTCCTCACAGTGAGTGCCAGGAGGGGTGGAGCTACAGTACCTTGCACAAGTTAAAGGAAGAAACTCAGCTGTTTGTTCAGAGGGGAGGAGCGGAGAGACGAAGAAAGCAAGTTAGTCTTAGACTTCATGCGCTCCGTGGAAAAGTAGAGAAGAATCAGCTGCTTCCTCTGAAACCAGAAGAGAAATGAAGTAAAAGTTAGAAGCTGTGGAGGGGGGCAGGCATTTCTCAGAATAGTCAGGGTGAGGTATTAGCTGAAAGGTGAACTTTGGCCTGTGACAAATCACTACCTGACGTACGAGGAGAATACCTCCCAGGTAAGGTCTTTGAGGTCCAGAATTTCAGGCAGGTTTCTGGGCAACACTGGTCGGACTGTTTTCATGCTTTTGATATTTACAGAGCTTTAAAGTCAAATAGTACCATGACCTAAAGTTTGTGTCTAAACAACAGTGTGTCGCTGCAGCTGCTGATTGTATCTGTTCAGTGTTTCTCATTGAATTTCTGTATGTGGTGGTGACAGGGGAAGTGGCTCTCTGTGTCACCGTTCGACCAACCTGTGCTTTCTTTTATAAATTAATGAATAATAGTTTATATTGTTTGTGACAGTTATTAATTAGATGCATCTTTGATTTCTCAGCTTGTAGACAGACTTCAGATCCACCATCTTGGTCTGCGGGTAGCATTGTTTTGTGTTGTTTTGTTAATGACCTCAGCGCACATGAGCCAGTTCTCCACTTGATGCTGGTTGTGGTTGGGATAGGCAGCAAGGACAAGAAATACAGTTACCAGCTGCAGTTTAAGGTGATGAAGGTGGAGCCCTTCCGAATACATATTATACCTGGGAACCACAGGCATTTAAAGTCTGTGTGTGTAAAAAGTAATTGGTGGAAACTAAAACTAGCTTTGCAAAATATTAAAATTCAGTGAAGTCATTGCTGT